TTCCCTTGCTTCTCCTTTTCGTTTCTGATTTCCTTTTCCTTCACCTTCTCCTGCTCAGCAGTCTTACTTCTGCCCATTAATGCCCTCAACAGCCATTGCTACCATTGGCACCGGGAGAGAAAGCTGAATTAGACTTGGTCCCTGCACTTCCAGACGTCCCAGGGTAGGGGGACAAGTTGCGATACACACGTGCACGTAGTAAGGGCTGTGCCAGAGCTGGGGGGAGGCTGCCGAGGGCCCAATGTGTGGGTTAGAGCTCCCCTGAGTGCTGGGGAGGGTGGCTGCTAGGAGTGCCTTTATGGGCAGGGTGTCTGGTCTGCTGTTGAAACGTGAGGGTGTTTGTCAGTGGACCAGGTGACTCAGACCTTCCAGACAAAGGGAGGGTTGTGAGCAGGGACAGGCAGGGAGGAAGTGTGCCAGGACCCGGAGTGCAGGTACTTTGGACACATTTCTGAGTCAGCAAGCGATCCCAGGGTGTTACCGAGAGGTGGCATCTCGTGGTCAAGAGCATGGGCTGCTGGGTTCAGACGGTGGCCCAAGACCACCTTGACTGGCTGTTTGGGGGATAAGATGACGTAACACGTCGGCCCCCAGAAGAGTGCTTGGCGTGGTCGGCTGTGTCGACCTCTGCCTTTTGCCTTAGGTCTTGACGGAAGATGGCCGGGGTTTATCTGCAGGTGTTTCTTTGCCGCCATCTAACCCATCGCTGCTGAGTTGCCTCTTAACGCTTGAGCCTTCACCATTCTTTCTGTGTTTGCTCTCCGGCTGATGTGCTTGTGACGATGCAGCACGGGGATGTCACCAGTCGGCTCGACACGACCAGCTTTGGGGCTTTTTTTCTCCAAGGGGTCCTTCATGACCTTGTGGTGTTTTCACACTGTGTCTTTTCTCTTCCTGCTTCTGTTTCTCTTCTTTGTCTTCTGGAAGTTCCAGGCCCTCTCTGGTGACTGACACTGAAGTCTTCTCAGATTCCTTCTGCTGTCGGACACAGTACTCACGGGCGGGCTCGAGCACACAGATCAGTCCTAAGCTGTGCTTCCCTAGACGTTCACGTACCCCTTTCTGAGCCATTTCCGAGTTAGGCGCAGCCATCGTGGCACGTCTTCCCCAAGGACGGCAGGCGGCGTCTCCCAAGAACAGGGAAACCCTCCCATGTAACCACCATACGGTTATCACATCCGGAAACGATCGCACTGATGTAGCACTGTCAGCTGGCATATGGTCTGCATTTCAGATTCCTCCAGTTCTCCCAGTGTTTATAGGTTTTTAAAAAATGTAGGATCCAGTCAAGGGATATGCTTTGTTTTAGTCATTAGTTTTGACTCGTCTCTTTAAAGTGTACAACAGTCTCTCCCAGCCTTTTAATTTTTGTTCTTTAATGGCAGTACGTTTTTGAAAAGTCCAGGATGTTATTTTGCAGAATGTCTCTCGATCTGGTTGTTTTTGGTTGTTGTTTCATGATTAGAGTTAGGTTAAATTTTTTTTTTCTGGTCAGGAAACACTGCATAGGTGATGTGTCCTCAGGAAATACATCATACCCCATCAGTGGGGACGATTTGGAGGAAAGTCTGATTACTTGGTTAGGGTGGTGTCTACCAGTACTTATAAAGGTACTCCCCCCTTTGGTTATGAATCTTGGGTGATGCTTTGAATCAGCGTGTATATGTTTTTTTAAAAAAATATTTATTTATGTATTTATTTGGCTGCACCAGGTCTTAGTTGCGGCATGCGGGATCTTCCTTGCCGCGTGCAGGATCTTTAGTTGCGGCACGTGGGATCTTTTTTTTTTAGTTGCCGCACGCGGGATCTAGTTCCCTGGCCAGGGGTCGAACCCGGGCCCCCTGCACTGGGAGCGCAGAGTCTTAACCACTGGACCAGGAGGGAAGTCCCAGTGTGGCTATCTTGTTACCCAGTGGTTTTTAGCATCTGTTGATGATTCTTGCGTGTATCTGTTATTGCTGTGGTAGGTGTGAAATATGACTCATTGTGTCACTTCTTCTGTATTTATTAGCTGGTGTTTTTCTGTAAAGCACAGCTTTCCTTCTCTTCTTATAAATTATTTTGAGATTGTGTTTTAGCTTCAGGATAGATTCTCCTCTGCTTCTTATATTGTTTACCATGTACAGCGATCTAACCCCATAGTTTACTTTGGTGTCCAGATGATCCAGATCTTGACTAGTGAAAGCCTTGTCCTGCTGGCACCGTCCTTGTGCAAGCTCTCACTCACTTCTGGTAACACAATATATTCCTGGTTCACTCTATGTGCTACTTGCTCCAGACCTGAAATCAACCATTCCTCCAAGGAGCCTTGGTTCCTTTCCATGGGGAAGGATAGTTAGAAGCCATGTTCTGGCTGCTGCTGGGGATGCCATTGCTCTGCGGCCATCTCTCTGAACAGCCGTGAGCTTTTCCTGCTCTGATGGCATGTCAGCAGCATGGGGTTCTTCTCTCCTCCGCCTCTGCCTGTTGGTGTCTCCCTTTTCCCACGTGGGAAACTGGGTCCCAGCAACACCAGGGTCTTGTCTTTTTACTGGTTCATTCGTCCGATACACAGCACCACCCGCTACCGACGCCAAACCTGGTGAAGTTCCATCTACTTTTCAGCTCCTCTGGTACTTAAAGCGTGTACCGCTGTGTTAGAGAAGTATTTGGATTGATGTGTCCCTTCCACGGAAGGGTAGATTAATGAGAAGGGAAATCCTTTTGGTAATGAGATACGCGAGGGCAGCTGAGCATCGTCCTGGGGTGGGCGCGGGCTCGGGGCCGCGGGCGCCGGCTCAGGCCTCCTTCTCCGCCCGTCCTCCGGCCCCCGGCAGGTACTCTGACCACAGCATATGGACCGCCTTCCTGGGCCTGCACGACCAGAGCAAGCGCAGCGCCCCCGGGGTGCAGGAGCGCCGGCTGCAGCGCGTCATCTCCCACCCCTTCTTCAACGACTTCACCTTTGACTACGACATCGCGCTGCTGCAGCTGGAGCAGCCAGCCGAGTACAGCGCTACCGTGCGGCCCATCTGCCTGCCGGACGCCGCGCACACCTTCCCCACCGGCAAGGCCATCTGGGTCACCGGCTGGGGCCACACGCAGGAGGGAGGTGAGCGGGGGTGGGGGTGAAGTTGGGGTGAGGGGCTGACAGCTCTGCCCGCAGCCCAACCGCTGTGGGATGGGGGGGCCTCGTGGCCTGCCTTCTGTACCTCCCTTTCTCACACGCCTTCCCAGGGTGGGTACTGGATTCCTCACCCGACAGATGGCCAGCGCGGCCTGATCACTCTGCCCCGCTGTACAGAATCCCATCCTGGAGACGTGCCCTCAGGTTTTAGCCACGTGTGGGCCGCGGGCATCCGCGCTATTTCAGGGGCTCTGCTGGTCGGGTCCCCCAGCTGACCGCCGGCCGCCCCTCCCTCCCTGTCCCCCGCTTCCGCTGCCTCCCAGGCACGGGGGCGCTGATCCTGCAGAAGGGCGAGATCCGCGTCATCAACCAGACCACGTGCGAGCGCCTGCTGCCGCAGCAGATCACCGCGCGCATGCTGTGCGTGGGCTACCTCAGCGGCGGCGTGGACGCCTGCCAGGTGGGCCGGCGGGGCGGCCGGCGGGGCTGAGGGCGGGGCGGGGCGGCGGGGCTCGGTGCCAAGGCCTGGTCTCCCCGCAGGGCGATTCTGGGGGCCCGCTGTCCAGCCCGGAGGCCGATGGGCGGATGTTCCAGGCCGGCGTGGTGAGCTGGGGCGACGGCTGCGCGCAGAGGGACAAGCCAGGCGTGTACACGAGGCTCTCCGTGTTTCGGGACTGGATTAAACAGCAGACCGGGGTGTAGAGGCGAGGTGCCACCCCAGGTGTGCACGTGCGGGCTGAGGACGGGATTGCTGCCCGGACCCCCGGCTTGGCCCCCCAGAACCCAGACTGGGACCTGATCCCCGAGCCTCTGGAGATGGAGACTCGCCCGCAGGCCTCTCACCCACCCCACACCCCCAGCTTCCCAAGCGCGTTCGAGGAGGGGAGGGGAGGGGAGGGGAGGACGCCTGGCAGTGCCGGGCCGGAGGTTTGAAGACACAGCCTCTCGGCCCTGGCGCCACGCCGGGCCGGAGGCTCTTTTCCTCAGATACAGGGAAGGCTGGCTTCGTCTGCCTCAGATACAGGATCAGCTCTCGTTTGGACTTTGGGGCCACTTGGGCGGGGCTGGTGGGGCACCACGGGCTCCCAGGGTCGCCCGCTTCAGGAAATCCAGGCCTGAGGGACCTGGAAGTCAGCCGGGTCCAAGGTTCGAATGTTTTGCCGGCTCCCAGGGTGGGGTTCAGTGTGTATATTTGTGTGTATGAGTAAAACACTTCATTTCTTTTTAGGTAATTTTTCTTTCTTACTGGAGTTGATGGGCTCTCCTAGCCCCAGCAGCAAGAAACTGGGTTTAAATTCCCCTTAGCACAGAGCCTGGAGTCAGGCTGAGAGTGGGGACCACAGTGCCCTGTGATGGTCCCCAGGCCAGCACGGGGCTGCGTCTCCTCCCTTACCTGAAGCTCCCCAGACAGGGCCTGGTGCTGGGACAGGAGGGGTGGGGCGGGGTGCTGCTCCCCGGGATGATGGGGGAGGAGCTTTGTCCTGGCGGTTTCTGTCAGGTGGGGAGATGGTCATACGAATGCTGTGTGTGTGTGTGTGTCTACCTGTGCGCCTGCGCTTGCACACTCGGACACGAGAGAGGGCGTGAACTCACGGCTGTCCAGCGTGGGCTGAGTGGGTGGGTCCTGATGATGCCGCCTCGCTTGAGGCTTCTCCCCTGTCTAGTGCTGTCCTTCCTCCTTTGATTTTTACTTAGTAAATTACAGTATTCTCTCCCTTCTTGCTTGGGATGACTCAGAGGGACAGAGACGAGGATCTGGGGAGGGCTCAGGGAGTTCTTGAGAAGATGTTTGAGGGCCTTCCGTATGCCAAGGCTCTGTATGAGCTGGGGCTGGGGGATAGCAGCAGACCCAGGAAGAGAAATCAGATGGCCGTGTGAGGGAGGGTGGGTGGTCTTCGCTCACTGCTGTATCGCCAGCTCAGGCCTGGCTCCTAGAAGATGCTAACACATATTTGTTGACTGAGTGGTCTTTGCTCTCTAGTGTTTTGGAAACCAAAGGGAACAATCTGGGCAGACTTCCTGGAGGAGGTGAGCTGCCTCTTTCATTTTAGCCTGAGGGCCTTACCTTCTGGAAGGAGGGAGAAGTTTTGTCTTGAGAGCTGTGCAAGCATCCACATTGCGTTTTCCTTCCAGGGAAGGGAAAGGTATCATTTTTGCCGAGGTGTGGGGAGTAGGAGAATGAAGGTGCTGTCAGAAGACCCTGTGCAGATGGCGCCGAGTGTACATAGCTGGTGTGTAGGGAGAGGCTTCACTTGTCTGGTTCCCAAGGGTGAGAGCCCCTCAGGCAGCCAGGCCTGGCCTGTGCCTACCCACAGCACCTCTCTCCTATCGGCACCTGACATGGTCCAGAAGACCCCCCCTCCCCAGGTCAGAAAGGCAGGCGGGGTCATGAGACGACTTCACTGTCCCCTAAAGGCACAGGGGCTCCCTCTCCACAGCCCTCTGTCCCAGTTTATGGTGGTTTCTCAGCCTCATTGTTATCCCCCCTGGGGCCCTTTGGGGTCACCCCGCTGTCTCAGGGGTCTCACCGGCGTGTCCGGGCTGGGACTGGGCAGGTCATCCAGGACAGCGCTCCCACAGCGTGACCCCGGGGCCAGGAACATCCGCACCACCTGGGGCGTCGCAGAGACTGATATCTCACACTTCACCCAGACCTCCCGCATCAGAGATTCTGGGAGGCGGGGCGCAGCCGTCTGCTTTAACAAGCCTTCCGGGTGACTCTGACGAACCACAGGGCTAAGAGCATCCGCATCTCTGAGTGCCCACCAGGTGCCCGGCACTGCGCTTTGCAGGCGTGTCCTGCGGTCCTGGCAGGGTCCCGGAAGCCACAAACATTTGACGCCTGGAAACCAAACAAAAGCATCAGTGCCTTTCAGAAGACTGTGGAGCCAAATCCAGCGTCACTTCTGCCCACAGATAAGAATCGGCTAAGACTCCTTAGCTAGTGGGAAGTCAGTCTCGTCTTCGAGCTGTAATGAAGACAGAGGCCCCAGCACAGTCAAGGCTGACGACAGGAGTGACAGCCGGCCCGGGTCCACTCCTCTCTGCCGAGGGCAGCGGCACCAGCACCAGCCCTGAGCCACCGCCTCAGCTTCCTGCACCCGGGTGCAGGCCCGGGGAGAGACTAGTGACCAAAACTGTTCCGCACACATTTTCACGTCCAGTTCAAGAACTCCAGCTCCAAGTGTGTGAGCAAGTTCAGTTCCGCCCGTGCAGCCTGCTGTGGCCGCAGCCAGGCCCACGACGGTGCAGTGCCGTTCGTGTGACAGCACCCAGGCAACCAGGCAGCGCTGCCCCAGGCAGGCGCACGGGCCTGCGCACAAGGCGCTGCCTCGGCTTCATGCTCTCTGTCGCCTTCGGTTGGGTCCCCACAAAAGCTCAACGAACCACTGTGAGGCCTCTTCCTCACTGACTAGCCTGTTTTAGTTGCTAGGATCTTGAAACGAGCCATCTCTCTGGTCCCCCAAACTACCTTGCGTCTCGCTTGTTTTAGCCACCAATCACAAGCATTAAAATGGAAGTTCAGTCAATGTTTCATCCTATTTCGTGGACAGGAATCTGATCCAGACCTGGATCCTGCAGGAGGTACAGTCTGCAGGGACCCAGGGCCTGGGGGAACCAGAAGGGCGTAGGGAAGCTGTTCAGTCACCAGGGGGCACCGCAGGGCTTCCCAGGCCGCCAGCCTCTCCGTGGCCAAGGTGCTGTCATGGGAGAGGGGCCCTCTCTGCGTAGGGTGGGGTGGTGGGTTGGGACGGACCCCAGGCCCAGCCGTTCTCGGAAGGCTGTCTCCTGCAGCTTCCAGTCCCTTCGTGCCCCGTCTCAGGTGGGCAGCAGGAGGCCCCGCACCCACCCCTCCCTGCGGCAGGGACCTGCTGGCCCTCAGGCTCTGGGACCAGGAGGATGAACATGCCCAGGGCGGGGTCAAAAGAGCTTTAGGGTTTGAGGACAGAGGTGACCTGTGGCAGGAGGTGGGTGTTATCTCCCGGAGGAGCAAGCGTGGAACGGTACCCGTTATCACAGCTGGCAGATGCTGCAGCCCGTGGGCAGGTACGTTCTTACACACACACACACACACACACACACACACACACACACAGGCATTCTTGGGGGAGGGGCAGGGCTGTGTTTTAGGGCCTGAGCTCCCGGTCCTAGAAACATGGCCTGGCTGTTACCACAGGACATCCTCCCTCTCTGGGGCACCTGGCGTGCCCACAGATTCAATTCAGGGGGCCTCCCTCAGCTCTCTGTGATGGAATGAGGCCTCCCACTTTCCCAGGCTTGGAATCACGAGGGTGTGTGTGTTTTGCACACCTGCAGCCACACGTAAGGGAGATTGGACCTTAAAGCTGGTGTTTCTCAGACTTGAGTTTCTTGGAACGCTGAAGCTCCAACATATCTACCATCTAATGAAAGAGCCTCCTGAGCATTCTAAGTGCTTTACTTGTCTGATGTAAACCTCACAACAGCCCTATGGTCGTTCCCACTTTACAACAGAAAACCACGGCGCCAAGAGTGTAAGTAACCGCCCAAGGTTCCCACGTCTAGTCTCCTAGGACCCGGGCACCTAGGCTCCGTCCCCCATAGACTGTTACTCACACCCCGTCGTTTCACGAGGGAAGGAACTTCTCGCGGGTAGAATGAAGGGGCCACGCTCTCAGAGACCCTGTGGGCCAGCCCCTAAGGCTCGAGTCCCCCTTGCTTTGGGGAGCTCCAACAGACCTGGTCACGAGGCCTCCCTGCCGTGAGAGCTATTTTCCAGGTGAGGGGTTTGCTCCAGGTGAGGGGTTTGCTCCAGGTGGGCAGTGCACTCGTCCTCCATCTGCTTTGCCAGCCAGGGTGGGACGCCGCTGCTGCCCTCGTGCCATTTCAACTCGTCCTGTAAGGCTGATGGGCCAAGGCAGGGAAGGGGGAAGTGTCCGTTGGAAGGGGGTCCGACAACTGCTTTCAGGTCACCAGGCTGGGCTTCCTCAGGGTGGCAATCAGGAACAGAGCTTGGAAAGCCACCAGATACCACTCAGATGATGCGAGCAGGCCCCCAAGCAGGAATATGAATAGTCATCACCTGCTTTTACGTCTCGGGTTGACCTAGAAGATCCTTCCAACCGTTCTTCCACAAGGTGACAAACACGGCATTGACAGCGGGGAGTGAAGACGTCAGAGGGGCTTTGAGCAAGTGGTGCTTCCTCTGGGCCTGGGCGTGGACAGGCTCCTCCCTGAGGAGAGGGAGCCGCCTCTGGCACAACAGGAAAAGGGGGAGCAAGGGGGACCTGGGTGCCGGCCGAGCGTGAGGGGGGCCTGGGTCCAGATTCCCTTTATGTTCTGGCTGTCCTCGCCCCCCATCCCCCTGCTCCCCGCAAGAGAGATGCTGAGGAAAGAGAAGCCCTTGACTCTCAGATCAGCGCTTGCACGACGCGCTGATTGCTTCTGGTCTGATGTGTCTACAGTGATGACTGTATTCTGGTGAAGACACCCCAGCTCTTGGGATTTCAGTTCATTTCATTATCTGTTTCCCCCTTTTCTTCTCCAGAGGGCTGCGCGCTCCCGTGCCGTCGCCCTGCACCTGCAGCTCCGAGGCTGTTTTTCTGCCTTTTCCCCTCATCTCCAGTTGTTTCCTAAGAAGTCAGGGTCCAGAGCTGTTTCCAGGCGAGGTGGAATCAACTCCATTGTCTGGTTGTTCCGCTGCCTCAGAATCTTCCATCGGG